CAACCGGCCGGACCGGACCGTTTTAATATTTCTCAACCGGTTCCACCCCTGATCAGTATCTCAAGAGACAGACTTTTCATAGCTTAATAAGAAATCAATGTGCCTAATTTTGTTTTTTATCGATACATGTCTACATATTCAAAAATATAGAACACATTTCAACTAACTTGAAGAAAGCTGTATTCTACAAGAAGAAATCTTCATTCTCATCTACTTTGTATAACATTGAGATGATGAGTAAAATTTATAGTAAAAAAAAATAAATTCTGGAAGATACTACACAATAGAATATTTAATAAATCTGTCGATCAGATGCTATAAATCACTCATCATCGTGTATTCGAGAGGTTTTCACATTACCAAACCAAGATTTAATTCAATCTCCTTTAGAGACAAGATTGAAGATACCAGTCCATTGAACTGGGACTCAGAAAAAAATTGCTCTCTGCAAAACTAAAGATTTTAGTTAAAATATCCCATTGTTTTAAGCGATTTATCTTATAAGTCATTATAATTAAAATAAAATTCAGGAGAGCCGAGCAAAAAACAAAAGATATTCATCGACTGAGTAATCAAAAGAAATCTGTAATCAAGAATTGTTTTAAACTTAATACGAGTAAATTTTAAAATAGTTTCTTTTAAGCGAAAACGAAGGACAGAGTCGATGATTCTCTTAATTTTGGTCAAAGTGAAAATTTAATACAAATGTCGTAAAGTAGAAATGTTGAAAATCTTCCTCAGCCACATCTTCACTCTTATATCTTCATATTCATGTCTTGTTTTTTAATTTAGATATTTTTTTCACTTTCGAGCACAGTTAGAACTATTGGATAGGTATTTAAAAAAACTAAAATCATGAGAATCGCGACCAATAGAAAAAAAAGTTACCGGGACTAAGAAAATTTGGTTCCGCAATCTCTACTCATACTCTGTATCCCTAAGCTTTCAATTTTCTGGATATGTAATACAACTTATCTTTGTCTTCGTATCATTATTGCCTTATACATGTATAATCATTAACATCGTTCGCTCAAATATTGAATCGAGTTGAATTTGCTGATTTTTTATTTTTAAGGAAAACTTAAGAATATATCAGTTTCAGTTAAGAAGAAAAAAAAGACAAACTTTTGCCATTATTCGTATAGAAGAACCGCCGATCGACAGATTTCTCATGATCGAATTACGACCAAATATGTCATTCTATAATTGAACATGTTTTCAACATTGTGTATTTGCTAAAATTTTTATGAAATATTCATAACTAATGTTTCTTTAAGAGAATCTTGGTACAATAAGTTTATCAACTTGTCATCGTCCATTGTATCCAATTTACACTAAATTTGGTACAATTGTAGCTGACATAACTTATACAAGTGGCACAGATACAACACATTTGGATTCACCTTCATGTGTATATCTTGACAGCAAGAAAAATATTTATATTTGTGATACTAATAATCATAGAATAATGAAATATTCTTCAGATAATCCAAAAGAAGGAATAGTAATAATTGATTACTTTTCAAATGTAAATCATCCACAAAATCTCTACATTGATCAAAGAAATGATGATTTATATTTTCTTGATTATGATGATGAAGATTATTATCGTGTACAATATTTATCAAATAATTCTACTCAAATAAAAGCAATTATTCTTTTCATTGGAAATAAATGTCACTCATATGGTATGGTTTTAGATTATAATCGAAATATTTATGTATCAGAAAATGAAAATCATCGTATTGTTAAATGGTTATCACCTAAATATAATGATTTTATTATTGTTGCTGGAAGTAATAGACCAGGAACACAATCACATGAATTATCTAATCCAAGAGGAATATATCTCAATCCAGTAAATAACGATTTATATGTTAGTGATTCTAATCGTGTACAGCTGTGGCCATCAGAATCACTTATAGGTCAAACCGTTGTGCCATCTTATTTTCGATCAATTTTTAGTATCACACGCGATTGTCATGGAAATCTTTACGTTATTGATGATTATACACATATTATTCGTTTATTCAGTCAATCAAATGAAGACACCGGTATGCAAGGACTTATTATTGTAGGTGTACCATACGAGGGTGATCGGATGAACATAGATAAAAATGGAACTGATTATTTAGGTGCTCCAAAAGGACTTTATCTTGATGATGAAACTGGTGATTTATACATAGCAGATGCTGGATTTCATCGAATATTAAAAATGTCCATCAATGGTTCATTTATCCCAGGTAAATACCGGAGGATTGGCGATTTTATCGTGTTTTATTTCATGAGATTGGAACCAAGTGACTATTACAGATTTATGAGGATGTATTTCTGGATGTTTCTATTGGGTCAAAACTTTGATATATGACTTAACAATTTTTTGTGTCTGACATGTCCTCTCCGAGATCGCAAAAAAAAGTTCTATTTTTGATTTAAAAGTTTTATATCTAGTCTGATAGAACTCGTCTCGCTTATTTTTATTGAAATTTCACTTAATAATAAGGAATATCTGACAAGGGGAAACAGCTGACTTCAAGACTTCAAAAGACTTCACGAGACTTCAAGAGACTTCAAATTTTTCAAAGCCTTCTAAAGACTTCAGAAGGCTTCAGAAGATTTTAAAAGACTTCAAAGGGTTTTTGAGACTTCACAGGACTTCAGAAGACTTCAATGATTTCAAGAGACTTCATGAGACTTCACGACCGAATTCTCTGCGGTTCCCCCTTGCCATCGAAAACAAGACAGTTTCATTAGTTTTGTGGAACTCGCATATATTTTCGAGGAAAATGGTGAGTGTAAGTTGTAAGGCGACGTTTTTTATGACTATCCCTACCCCTCAGCCCCCATTACAGACCCCCTTGACCTCCCCCGGCCCCTATTACAGACTCTCTTGGTCCTGCCGCTCCCATTACAGACCCCTCGCTCTCACTGATCACTCCTCCCCTCCCACTACAGACAATGTCCCCTCTCATAGCCCCATCCCACATTACAGACATTAGCAACATCATTACGACACTATCAAAAGCATTACAGACACTATCAAAAGCATTACAGACGTTAGCAACACCATTACAGACATTAGGAACCAGTGTATGGTACCATTACAAACATTAGTTAGCAAAAACAATAAACATTAGACTTTCCTGATTTTGTTTTGAAAAATGTTCAAGTTATAACTTTCAAAAATAAACAATATTGATCTTTACGAGTTGACCAAGAATTATGATATAGTGTTTTTATGCTTACTCTAAATATCATAGACATTTACAGCAGTCTTGTTTGTCAGTTAAATCCATAATGAGACAAATAATAGTGTGAAATTGAGAAAAAGAAAATACGAAAATAAAAAATAAAAAATAATAGCAGCAAGATTAAACAAAAAAAATAGAGCACCGACGAAAAGAAAAGAAAAAATGATGTTCAAAATACCAAAATAAAGGAAAACTATTCTTTCTCTGGTAATTGATTATTTTGGAAAATGAGTATAGTCTATGAGAGTTTCTTCACTTTACCATTTTGTATATCAGTTTATTTCTACGACCCATGAAAAAAATTTCTATAATATTTTGCGTCGAAACGCGTTTTTTTATTAGCTCGCATGTTTTCGCTAGACTTTAAACACAGTTTTTAAAATGCGTTTAAACGCGTTTTTTGCAGTAACAAAAAGCGTTCCGTAAGACTAACAAGACCTAAAATTTTTGAAGAAAAAAATGTTATTTTCAACGCAATCATTGTCTGAAACGCGATTTTCCAGAATTTGTATCTCCTCTGAAGAAAATATTCGT